CCAAACAAAGTAGTTTCGCTTTCACAATGAAGCACACAGCGCCTTCACAACATGGCGGCGGCGGCAGCAGCAATAATACTACAGCGAGAATAAGTTATGCCGCCTTTGCGTGAACATTTGGGCAGCGTTATGCAAATCTTCCTAGATAGTGACGTAGGTATGTGGGGGGTGTGTTAGAACGAGCCGTTTTAGGTAGGCGTGGTTAACTCTTAACTTTTATAAAGAATATCTCTTTGGATTTGAGACTTTAGTCTTTGCAACTTTACAGATCTTCTTTATGCACCAAGAGCTTGTAACACTCCAAAGAGAAAGGAACAATTGAAATCGCATCATATGACCCCTTTAAAACACAGAGTGTTTCTTTATGGATAGCTGTTTGATAGCATTCCCTTTCCCATTCTGTGACTTTTGGGGAGCTTGTGAAATAAAATATTTGCAATTAGTTGTTTGCATTTATTTGTCTGAACTATTGGCTACTTTTGAATGTCCAGAGTAAATGCGTTTTTTTTTTTTTTTGACCCCAAAATGATGTAGTTTCCGCCAGTAGGAGCTAAGCCATTCTTTAAAGGTATAATTCACCCAAAAATGAAAATTCTGTCATCATTTACTCACCCTCAGGTTGTTCCACACATGCATTTCTTCTGTTGAACACAACGGTAGCCATTGACTTCCATACAGAAAAATACAATGGAAGTCAAAGGGTACTGTCAACTTTGGGTGAGTAGATGATGGTGAACTCTCCCTTTTAATATGTTAATATTTTAATTCATTTTTTTTTTTTACATAATTGCTAATGTAATTTTTCAGTAAAATTAATGGTAAAGTGATGGAGGAGCGGAGGTTGCCTTTTATGTTACTGGTGTGTGTGAATTCGGTCTACGTTATTTTTTTCTGTAATTTTAGAGTGCAGTCATGTTTTTGTGATATACTTGTAATATGTAAATCTATGATGAAGTGATGAGTAATGACAGTAGGCTACTTTTATTCTGTTGATGTACCTTACAGTTCCTGAGGGTAAAAGCAGTGTCATTGCTGTAACATTAAGTGAACACCGCATCTATTCAGCATTTTTGTAATCTTACTTTAGTGGATACTGAAATGTGATTTGAAAACCTTGAGAAAAGAATATGTATTTTAAGATCCCCAAGCCTTTTTGCATAAACCTAGCTAAATAACAGATCATTTTCCTCTTACTTTTATTTCTTAATTTAGAAAGCAAAGGAAACAATCTCAGTGAAATTATAGGTTTTTCAAAATCTCATGTTCATCTTTTGCTTGGTTTATCAACCGCTGAAACTTACCGACTCTCTGACCACTGAAGAACCTGAGCTCTTTTCTTAAGCGATGGTTAGTTACTAACACACACAGCCAGTTCTCGGAAGAATGCTTTTATTCTTTTCACCATTTCTGCCCTGTTGATTCATAACATAACCGTTTTAAAAGCCAACATGAAAAACTGTGGTCTTTTGTTAATGTTTGCATAAAAAGAGCAGATTTTTAAATATGTTGAATTTGTCTGCTTTTGAAATTTGAACTCCTCTTGGTTGACATGGCTACTGTGTCAGCAGTGTACACTAGACCCAAGTGTTTATTGAGACACCACACAGTGGAAACAGACAGAGCCTACAAGTGCTATTACTGTATATTTCCTTCAGTATTTTGCCTGAAGACACAGTTTAATATCTCACATCTTATTAAAAGGAACAAAATGCTGCCTATACATGTTGTGAGATGTTAACAGGTGAAAAAAGATGATGAATAAATGCATTTTCAATTGTATTTCAATTGTTGTTCTTTGCTATGCGAGGTTCTAGATCAGGGCAAAAGCTTTGAGACCGATCAGCAGTTGCATGTGATTCCCTGTCAAGAGAAACGGTTTCTTCTGAAACATGTCTGGAGAGATTCCCTGTGCTGTTGGGAATGGGAGAGTGACACTAATTGTAAATCAAACTGTTTGGCTGTGACATCTCGGACATCAGATTGCTCTCATTAGGATGAGAAGCTTGTGTTTGTATGTGCTTGAGCTGAAAGACTGTTTGTTTTGATCTTCTTCACTTTGAGTCATATTGTGTGAAGTGCTGAAGTGTTAAAGTGCATGTGTTTTGACTTATTATGGCCACTGCCTTTCCTTTGATATTGATGCTCTTTGGGATCATTTTGACAGTAAAGAGAGAATGATGGCACGCTTTTAAAATTTTTGATGCCAAATAACTCCGAACATGATGATCTCCCATCCATTGATATAACAGCAACT